TCCTCTGGCAGTCCATGGTATATTCAATATTCTTCACCAACGCCATAATTCAAAATCATCAATTCTTCAGTTATTCATTGTCCAGCTTTCACATGCATATGAAGCAATTGAAAATACCATGGCTTGGGTCAGGTGCACCTTCATTCTCAAGGTGACTTCTTTGCTTTTTAACACTTTAGACAAGTCTTTTGCAGCATATTTGCCCAATGCTATACGTTGTTTGATTTCTTGACTGCAGCTTCCTTGGGCATTGACTGTGAATTCAAGAAAAATGAAATCCTTGATGACTTAAATATTTTCTACATTTATCATGATGTTACTTATTCATCCAGGCATGAGGATTTTTTCTTTCTTTATTTTGAGGTGTAATCCATACTGAAGGCTGTAGTCTTTGATCTTCATCAGTAAGCGCTTCAAGTCCTCTTCACTTTCAGCAAGCAAGGTTGTGTCATCTGCATATCACAGGTTGTTAATGAGTCTTCCTCAATCTTGATGCCCCTTTCTTCCTCATATAGTCCAGCTTCTTGGATTATTTGCTCAGCATACAGACTGAATAAGTATGGTGAAAGGTTACAACCCTGACACACACCTTTCCTGTTTAAACCATGCAGTATCCGCTTGTTCTGTTCAAATGACTGCCTCTTGGTCTGTGTACAGGTTCTGCATGAGCACTTAACTGTTTCGGAATTCCTGTTCTTTGCAATGTTGTCCATAATTTTTTATGATCCACACAGTCAAATGCCTTTGCACAGTCAATAAAACACAGGTAAATATATTTCTGGTATTTTCTGTATTCTCTGGTTCCACGTCCTCTTCTGAATCTGGCTTGAATTTCTGGCAGTTCCCTGTTGATGTACCACTGCAACCATTTTTGAATTATCTTCAGCAAAATTTTACTTACGTGTGATGTTAATGGTATTATTTGATAATTTCCACATTCCATTGAATCACCTTTCTTTGGAATAGGCACATATATGGTTCTCTTCAGTCAGTTGGCAATTACTGTCTTCCAAATTTCTTGGCAGAGACGAGTGAGCACCTCCAGCATAGCATCGTTTTGTTGAAACTTCTTAATTGGTATTCTGTTCATTCCTGGAGCCTTGGTTTTTGCCAGTGCCTTCAGTGCAGCTTGGACTTCTTC